AAAAAAAAAAAAAAAAAAAAAAAAAAATTCATTAGTAGTTGGTTTTACTCGTCAAGTTCCATCATCGGGATTCGAACACAGGTCGGTCTGTATTTCAACGGTTCATGGGTGTACCCACTGAGCTAGGCTGTTGGGTGTTCAGTGTATTCTGCAGCATAACAAAAAGGCTTTTTTCAGTGTTTTTTTTTTTGTTTTTTTTTTTTTTTGCTGGGACCTTCTTTGGCCCTTGCACGACCGGGTCTCTCAGCAAACAAGGTGACCCTGGCGGCCCGGCTGGCAGCCTAGACGCACGGTCATTATAGCTGTATTTTGACTGAAAGATACCCCAAATACGGCTATAATGACCGTACGTTGTATTCGGCGGCCCGGCTGGCAGCCTAGACGTACGGCCACATGACCGTACGTTGTATTCGGCGGAAGAAGGGTAGTTCACTCACTCCCCTCCTCTTCCCAACCCCCCCCCCTCTCCCTCCGGGTCTCTCCTCCTTTCCTTCTCCCCTCCTTCCCCTCCTTCGTCCTCCTTCCTCCCTCCCATCGCCACTATCGTCCCTCCTTCCTCCCCTCGTTCTCCCTCCCGCCGCCCATCCTCACTATGAGCCCTCCCTCCTCCCTCCCCTTCCTCCCTCCGTGTTTTTTTCTGCCCTCTACCCCTCGTTTCCTCTTCTCCCCCTTCCTCCCCCTGTTTGCCTCCTCCTCCTTTTCCTCACCCCCACCTTTCCCATGTTTACCTCCTCCTCCTCCTTTTCCTCCGCTCCACCTTCCCTACTTCACTTCCTCCACCCAACCAATGATGATTCGGCCGCGCGTTCCATGAAGCTCAAGCGGGCATTATTGTGTTCGTCTGATTCCCAGCAGGATTCGAGCCCGTGCTCTGTGTTTGATGGAAGAAACAAAAAAAGTTATAAAAAACAAATTTGCAAGTGTGGTGTGTACCAGTCAGCCACGTGGAGCAGATGGTGAAGTCTGCACGTGGCCAGCAACCCGGGTGAAAAAGGGAGATGTGAGGAGGAGAAAAAAAACACGTTGAAAAAATAATAATAATAATAATAAAATATTAAAAAAAAACACGTTGAGAATATTTCGCCGCAAGTAGGCCACTAACATGCACCTGGCCTCCCGGGAAACAAAACAAAACGCACCTGGCCGTCTATTTACGGAAAGCACATTTCCCAAGTAGGCCACTAACATGCACCTGGCCTCCACCTGCCTGTCTATTTACGGAAAGCACATTTCCAATGGCCTGCTCCGTGATCGCGTACAAGTCAGACGTGTGTAGTTAAAAAAAAAAAAAAAAAAGACGACGTGTGTAGTTAGAGACGTGCATTGCATGCCCCGAACGAAGGGAAACGAGACGAAAACCGAGCCCATAATATTGTGGGCGAATGGAAAACCCATAAAACCGTTGATAAACAAAACAGATCACGGGTTCGAACCCCGATGAACATTTCAGAAAAGAAGGAAGAAGAGAGACTAAAACCAAGAGGAAGGAAGACAGACGTGAGTTGGGAAATTTTGCAAGCACCCGTGTGTGTCTGCGTGCGTGCGTGCGTGCACGCATTCACACGTCTGTACCCTGCTCCTCCGTGTGTGTGTGTGTGTTGTGTGTGTGTGTGTGTGTATGTGTGTGTGTGTTGTGTGTGTGAGAGTGTGTGTGTGTGGGTGCGTGTGAGTGTGTGGGTGCGTGTGTGTGTGTGTTTAGATTTTCCCCACAACAGCCCCAAATCCACCCAGGTGAATAGATTCAGAATCAAAGCAGTCTGTCCTATTTCGCTATACACTCAAAAAAAATGTGTGTGTGTGTGTGTGTGTGTGTGTGTGTGTGTGTGTGTGTGTGTGTGTGTGTGTGTGTGTGGAAAGGTCGCGGGGGGGAAGAGAGGGGGGCGGAAGTGGGGGGGAAGGGGGGGGAAAGGGGGGGAAGGGGAAAAGAGGATGACGACGGTGGCTGTGGCTTACAGCAAATTCTCTTGAGGGTGTTGTCGTTTCCACGTGCGAGCAGCGCACTTGGCGCGAAAGTCGAAACTCTCGCTAAATCGACCACTCCTGAACTCCTCCGGAAGTACAGATTTGTCCTGTGACAGGATCTTCCCCATTCGTGTGGCTGTCACGTACTTATAACACGTCACGCCACCGTTCTCCATGCATTCCAGTCCTCCTGCAGGGATAGGCTCGATGACGAAAGCGTCCTCGAGTTTCCCACTCTCGTCCTTGGTGAAACAATGCGCGAGCCCGACGACCACATAGTCGTCGTCATCGTACGTCGGCATCTCCCCGACAGCCATTTGCACCGCCCCTCTCCGTTGGATGGGCTTGGATCGGTGTCCCGACAGGGAGATCTGCCGCCGGAAGTCGCTGGCGACTCTGCAGATGCGGCTGCCAGCCTGCAACTTTACTGACAACCGCGGCAGGCGCAGACCTGCGCGTGCACAGCATGCCGAGGGAGCTGCAACTCCCCGCCTGGCGCTGGCGATGGCTATGGCGATGACCTTGTCATGGCAGGTTGAGCGGCTTGGCCCGCCCAACCCTCGCACACTGCCCTGTCGGCTAACGATACCCCTGCCTGGCATTCGGCAGCCTGCAATCGTCTGACAGGCAGGCCCCATGACAGCCTGCGATGCGCAGCCAACAGACTCCATCGCTCCTCTCTCTGAAGCTCACTCCCGCTTCCTGCTTCGTCTTACCCAGCCAGTCTGATGTGTACCAACAGATACAGCCAAAATCCAGAGACCAACCTGTGGGGCTGAGGGGTGCACACATATTCAAACCGCTACTACCGCCGAGCCTCTTTCTGCCGAGGCTAAGGTCATACTCACACCACAGTGTTCCCTCGAACAAAACGCACGTATGTACTATTCAACTTTCCCTGGAAAAGTCTATTTCTCGAAGTCACCCCCTGAAATCCAAATAGTACGGTGGCGTATTCAACTTTCCCTACAAAAGTCTATTTCTCAAAGTCACCCCCTGAAATCCAAATAGTACGGTCGCGTATCTTCTATTCGAATAGTACGCACGTTTGTTCTATTCGAACACGCCAGTGTTCTACTCAAGTAGAACAAACGTGTCCCTGCTGCAGTGCCGCGCGTGCCCTGCAGTGTTCCACACTCTCTCTCTCTCTCTCTCTCTCTCTCTCTCTCTCTCTCTCTCTCTCTCTCTCTCTCTCTCTCTCTCTCTCTCTCTCTCTCTCTCTCTCTCTCTGCCTTACCTAAAGGTCCTGTTTGCGGGACGACTGCAGGTATCTGTTCGAGGCATATACTTCTTTTTTGGGTAGGGGTGGGTGTTTTCGGAAGTTGATACCCTATAACCATACTAGTAGAACGCACGTGCACGTGCGTTATATACGAGTACAAATACAACGCACAACGCACCCCATGCGTTCTATTCGTAAATGATGCACGTGCGTTTTGTTTAGGGAAAAACTGTAGGATTTTTTCCTCAATGTTGTGGACGTAATTGCGGTTAGGTTCGTGCAGGTATAACCATAATTGCAGGCAAGTGCATTATGAAAAGTACTGGTGTGAGTATGCCCTAAGAAAACCCTCACGATGTTGAATTTCAAGTATCAGGTGCGGGGTAGTCGATTGGGAAAGTCAGTTGACCAGTCCTATGGGCTGCTGGACCCGGTTTCCAGCCACAAACGATAAGGAGGGTGTTGGTCCCCGACCTCCGGGTTGAGATGTGGAGGGTTTTCTGGCCTCCTTGTTTTACATTTGTAATAATTTATTGCTATTTTCGAGACGAATAAAAATTAAAACCAAATGTTTGGATGAGTTAAAAAAGTTGTTATTAAGACTGAGAAAAAGAAAAAAAAAACGATGATTTTTTATACAGGTTCTTACTGAAATACGTTTTGATTTTAGTAAGAAAATCATGAAGACTGACACCCGAAACCAATCATAATGTCTGCTTTCAGCCAGACCTTAATCTGATTCTTCATCACAGGATATGTGTTTAACTTTTCCAGAGACGCAAAGTGTTGATTCGATCAAAGCATTTCGCAATGTCGGCGCCAAACACATATTTGGCTCTAATGGATCTAGCCAAAGCTTCCATGGCATCTTAACAACTACGTCCTGGCCTCAATCCTTAAGAGTGAGGTTCAAAACGTATTTCTCATTCGGGTTCTAAAACCATTTTAACACATGTCGGTTTAGCTCGTTCCACAAGAAGTGGTTCCGTCTCGTCCAAGTTTGGTCATCGAACTTCAATGTTCAACTATAATACTTCTGATGAACAATCACTTACTATTGATAGGCACGAATTGCTATTGTTTTTTCAACAAGCGATGGTTATTTGATAAGGTTTCTAATGATTTCATTGCTAAATCATTTTTACGTTGTGGGTATGAAGTTTCTTTAAAAATTTTAGAGAAAGGTGTTGTTTCCATTTTGGGTCCCTATGAAATTTCCACTACATTTTAAAATTTAGCAAAGCAAATAAGTACACTTCAGAGTGCTTTTGTTTACCATTGTGATTTTGTTATGTTAATCGGGTTAACCATATTTATTACCATAATAGGGTCTTGGGACTTAATTTCATTTCGGGTAGATAATCGATTGTATTTTGTTTACTTATTGAATTTTTTATTTATTCATCTCGAAAGAGACATAAGAACCAACTAAAATTTTGGGGGGGGCGGGGGGGGAGGGGGATTGGCCGAAAACATTGGCCGACCGAGAGAGGATACGGACGTTACTCGTAGCGAGCCCTAACGCGTCGTTCAGAGTAGTTGTTACTAATTACGGTAATGCGCGGTAACTCTTAGGTAACCCAAAACGCCATCCGCCCACCATAGCCTGACTATGGTGGTTTTGCGCAGTTTCTGGCCCGGATTAATAACAGTCTCCCATAGACCGGACGTCATCTTCCTAGAGCGGCCCGAAACCGTGATCCGCAAGCCCCAGGTCCTGTTCAACAGAGCAACATTTCTCTGCAGAGTACAACAAATAACGAGAATGTACCAAGACACAGCATCAGACAGCGAATTCACCTCAACTCGATAATTTTTGTTCCTTTTTTGATTTTTTTTTAGAAAGGTTGTGCAGGTTGAGCTATAGGCAGACCCTACCTTTGCGGCCAGTGCTTCAATCACACTCCCAGGGCACACCCAAAGAGCGAGGGCATTCCAAGCTAGGAGACTTCTAATGGTCTATAAACGGGAGACTCAGAATGGTATACAGTCGCTCAACAACCCCCCTCTCCCAATTATGCACGTCATAAGCACAACCAACAGGACACTCTACAAGCGAGACCCCCCATACAACGTCTATATAGCCTCGCGACCGTCCCCCCATGGGGTATCCGGTAGGGATCATGTGAAAGTATTGGAGTCCAATATCGTGGTAAATTATTTTTCCCCTCAGCCTTTTTCCAACCCGGTACATGGAAGTGGTTGCATTTGTTCCTCTAATTGTTGAAGTAACATAAACGAACATACACTGACATAAACAAACATTGCGGTTTACTTCCTTTGGTTATGGTACCAGAATTACCTCACCTCAATAGGTAAGAGCACGATGAGGACACCTCCAAACGCGATTACACAGAGTAGGAAAAACATTATGGGTTTCGCTACACACGGCACCTTAAACGAAAACTAAACGAGTGCATCTGCCTGCGAAGGTAACAAAATACACCCATTACTATTTATAGCAAACCGATGAACCTGTCAATTTTATGTGGGAAGATGTCGTCGTCTCGTTTTTCGTTTCGCGTACTATACCGTGCGGCAACACCTTATATCCGTGAATTGCTAGATACGTGTTTTCACGAAGGGATTTTGTCGTCGGGGCTTTGCATCGGTAAATCAAAAATCGAAAAAGACTTTGCCCACCTAAACCTAGATAAAGCTAGATGAGGACGTTTCTCAAATAAACCTACAGAAGCAATTGCCCAGAGGAGTAGCGATTAATGGAAGACCCAAAATTCGTGTTTTTCTAGAAATATACCCTAAAGGAGAGTTGCCAGACCGAACGTACGGAGGCCCCTAAGCTGACCCCCGAATGTTCGGGCGTTCGGGTCCCCGTACGGGGCCCTAACTCGAAGGGGTTCGGACCCCGCAAAAACATATTTTGGTACCTAAGAATTATTATTTGTTTCTGATTTTTTTTTTTGTGAGTTCTCTGTTATGTAAGCTACCTGTCTCTCAATTTTGAAGTCATTCTGTGGAGCCAAACAATAATGAAAAATTGGCAAAGATGGTGGTGTCAAAACTTGCTTTCC